ATTTGCTGCCCCGACCTCCCCTACTTGGGCACAAATACTTGGGCACTAGTTCTCTACTTGCTCTGCTCCCAGGGAACTAGTTGCTCGCCTGGAGAACGCCCAAGCACCACCAGCTCTCAGGGCCCAAAGTGGTCACAGTTGTGCCCTGGCCACCTGAGGGACCGAGGTGTATCCCTTATTCATCCTGAGATGGGAGCTTCCCACTGGGTCTGTCAGTGCAAAAGACAGCAACCAAGTTTTCCTTGTGTGGTGATTTAAAGGTGACCACAAAATCTTTGATGCCCTTCCCACAAAACTGTGGACTCTCATCCCCTTGAGTCTGGGCTGCCATCAGGACTTGCTTTACCCAAAAGAATATGGCAGAGTGAGCACTGTGCCAGGGTCCAGTCTAGACATGATTGGGACCCCAGAGTCACCAAGTAGGGTGATCTGGACACCCACCCTGCTGGTGAGACCAGAGGGAGAGACAGAGAGAAAGAGCAGTGTTATTGGCCCTGCTGTCCCCTATGTGTCAGAGGTGGGTCCCAAGGATGAGGGGGGCACCATCCTGGATCTCGGCCCCATTCCACTCCAGATGACTGAGGCCACCTGAAAACTCTAGGTGACTACCAGCAGAACTGCCTAGCTGAGCCCAGCTCAGAGAGCAGAATCTTCGGGAAATAAATGTTTGAAGCCACTGTGTTTGGGATGGTTTCTTATGCAGCAATAGATACCTGCAACATTTTGGGATTAGCAGAGTATGTGCTCTGGGTAAGAGCCCATTCAATGACAAGAAAGGCAGCTGCTCTAGTTACATCTTTAGAACCAACCTGAAATAAGGTCATAATTATCAGATCCCCTCCCTCCATCCAGATCACTTTGTTGCTTTTTAAATTTCATTGAGAAAACCATCTGTGAAGGGTCCTATAATCCAGGCTTCAAAGGAGGTTTGGGGCTCCTCACTATAAATCTACCTACCAAACCGCTCCTGAAACTCGATAGATTCTGAGCCAGGGGGCTGCCATCCTGAGCACCACAAAGGTATCCGCACCTTCCCACACCTGTCTGCAATGGGGACCGATCTCCATGAGGGTGGCTGCTGCAGAGGCCCTGCCGAGGTCAGCACATGACTTGGAACTGGAAAGGGCAGTGTTGGGGCTCTGTGCAGTATGTGAGCAATTCACCTGCGCTCTGCATGCCCCTATTTCTCAGATGTGAAAAGGGGACCTAATAAAATGACTTCCATGCCAGAGAGAGTATTAGGAGGAAGGCAGACCTCCACTGGGCCTGTCCCCAGGGGTTCCTGGAGGCCTCGTTTTCAACTAAAGGGATGAAGCATCAGACCTGGGAAAAGCCTTCTCAAAATCCAAGGTCCTGCCTCTGAAAGCAACTGGATTGGAGATAATTGTCTTCAACATTCAAAAAAAGAGGCGTAACACTAAAATGTTTTATTGTGCTATAAATTATTTTACATTTATTTCTCCTTTATATTGGGTTGGCCAAAAAGTTCGTGTTTTTTCTGTATGATGACTCTAGTAGTGCTTAGTTGTCTTTAATTTCATTTGAAACAATTTTGTTAGATTGTATTGTGACAGTTGTCATATCAGCATGCATTTAAAAGCACTTACCAAAATTGGTGAATTTCTGTGCAGCCATTTTAATATTAAAGATGGAAAATATGCAACATTTTTGGCATATTATGCTTCATTATTTCAAGAAAGGTAAAAATACAACTGAAACACAAAAAAAGATTTGTGCTGTGTATGAAGAGGCACTGTGACTGATCAAAAGTTGCCAAAGTGGTTTGTGAAGTTTCTTGGTACTATTGACATTTTGGCCAAATAATTCTTGGCTATGGGGCTGACCTATCCACTGGAAGACGTTTAGCAGCACCCCTGGCTTCTACCCACTAGAAGCCAATAGCAGAACATAGCTGACATACTCAAAATATCCAAATCAATAAAGTTTTTGATGAAAATGAAAAATGTTTTTTATTTTATGGAAAAAACTGAACAGACCTTTTGGCCAAACCAATGTTATAGTTAGAACATTAAATTGATTTTTGTGGCTACAGGTAGCATATCTTATCTATGACTTTCATTTCAAAATAGCAATAGGATCATTTCAATATATTTGGTACAAAGGGAGTTCTGGGCATCATAAAGTTACAAAGAACTTGCTCTAAGGTCTTGCCACTCGAAGTACGGGCCCAAACCAGCAGTGGTGGCACCACCTGGGATCTGAGTGGAAATGGAGACTCTGAGGCTTGCCCAGACATACCAAATCAGAATCTACATTTGAGCAGGTTCCCAGGTGAACGGGCTGCTTCTGAACGTTGGGACAGCGTGCTGCTTTAAGGGGTGTAGTGGGGGTGAATACTGGGCCGCCGTTCACACTCGGTCCATGAACCCAGGATGTAGCTGGGACCTAGGGCTTGGCTCTTAAAGGTCCATGGGACAGGACCTATCCTGCTTGGGCTACAGGATGTCAGCCTGCTGGAGGCAGCTACACCAAACCAAAGCCAAGCCGCCAAGGGACTGCAGGAGCGATGAATTGTTCTTTGGGAAGGACCTCAGCAACAATCACCATGGAAGGCTGAAGGTAAACTCCTTCACAAGGGAAGCCCCCAGAGGGCTGAGGTTTTCTTAAATAGAAATGTGGGGGGCTAGGGAGCAGGCTGGCTTAGGCTTGGGCACTCCCTGTTTCAAGACTTCCTCAAGCTCCTCAGCTGTGTTGTCTGTCAAATGGAAGTGATCTGGGCTGTGATCTCAGACTGGTGGTGAGGATTACATGAGAACAAAATGTGGAGGAGCCAGCCAGGGATCTGGCCCACAGCAGCTGTTCAGGCAAAGCACTAGGCAGCATGGGGCCTTGGGCACTGTGCACACAAAGCCATCTGGAGCCCACTCATGGGGCATAGACAAGGGCAGCTAGGAGCTGGGTTCTCAGTTGCTATGGGCGAGGCCTGATCTGCCCTTGCTGGCTTTGGAGGAGAAAGTTGTCTCCTGAACTGCCTTGCTTTGTTTTCCTCCTTCTACCTAAGCACTAATATGGCCTGCACTTCACAGCAGATACTCTATCATGCCCTTGAGCCCAGGAGGGCATGTCTTTAGAGCAAAACAGACTTGGAGTCTGCCTGTGTGGCTTCCCAACTCCCAGAGATCGGAGCCAAGCACGTGGAAACCAAACCCATTTGTCCACCACTTGTTGAGCAGCTGTCATGAGCCAATTTACAGGAAAATGGATCAGACACATGGTCTGTGCCTCACACACAGTCCTTCTGAAGGGACATATACAACATGGGACATGAGCTCTCAGGAGTCAAGGGTTTGGGGCAGGTGGAAAGCTCGGGAATTGCTGGTGAGGGGGGAAGATACCATGGAGAACAGCTCTCAGAGCACAGTGCAGAGTCACACACAGAGCCTGGTGGGAAGGGCACAGGCTGGGGAGGAGAAGGATCTGGTTACAGCCCTCACTCCATCTACAGGTGCTCAGTGTGCTGGGTGTCCCGAGACACCTCTCTGGGTCCCTGTCCACCCTTCTCCACCATGCTCTGGCCCCTGGGGGCTGTCTTCTAGGCACCGCTCTATGGATTCTGGTTGATGGGACTGAAGCAACAGTGGAACATCTGGAGGAAAAGATAGGGAGGGGTTGAGGAATGTATGCTGCTAGCTCCCTCCCTGCTGCCTCCTGGCTTGTCACTGCCTGAGTGCCTCTTCTAAGGCTCCTCTTGGTGACTCTTCTTCCACAGCTGCAGTTATTACAAGTTCCAGAAACCTCTACTCCCACATCCCCCGAGGTCTAGGGTAGAAACAGCATCCTGCAGGCACTGATCCATGAGTGCCTGCCCCTCCCTCCCTCCCTGGTTCCCTTAACCCAGCTTGAACCTCTAAGGAGAGTTCCCTCTGGAAACACTATTCAGTTTCCCTGTTTGACTGTCCCCTTAAGCCATGATCACCAAGTCTAATGCTTCCCAACTTTATGACCTTAGGCTAAGAGTAACTATGTATAACTATAACTATGTGTCATCATAAATACAAGACACTTACAAGGAGCCAGAATGTGTTAAGGGTTTCTTTTTGTTAGTTTTTAAACCTAATTCTCACAATAATCCTCTGAGACTGGTATATTACTCTTTTCCCCATTATTTAGATGGGAAGAGTAAGGCACGGTGGGTAAGTCATCAGCTGCCAAGTAAAGAGTCACCATTTGAACCAAAATGGTGTATTGTTCAAGCCCAGCTCTTACCCAGATCATCTTGGGGAACTACAGGGTCCTCATCTGTTTCATAAATTCTAAAAGGGGTTGCAGGGAGGGTTCCTCAGAAGAAAGGTACAGGAGCTGGTGGAAATGTGATACTGGGGCTTGGTGAGAGGAAGGCTAGAGACAGAAAGCAAACAGTAGTCATGGGGAGAAAAAGAGTCACAAAGAAAAAAGAGTGAAGAGAGAAGGGAAAGGACAGTCCAGGGGAACAGGGACACCAAAAAGAACAAGAAAACCCTCAGACTAGGTGGGACGAAAGGGAAGAGAAAGCTCTAATAATCCCACCCACTTGTCAGGCACAACACCACGCATTATACTTAAATTATAAACACTCCAACAACATTCAAACTAAGTAAGGTGGTATCAATCCCACTAAAAATCATAATGAGGAATCTGAAGTTGAGAGTGGCTAAGAAAATGTTCTCAAAACTGTCTTAAGTGGCAGAGCCAGAATCAAACCCAGGCTCATCTGACCTGCAGCCTCTTCTGGGAGAATGGCAGAAGCAAGGGCCCTTAAAACAGAAGAAGGAAGGGATTTAAGAAAAAAAGAGGATTTAAGAGATGTCAACAGTGGTCACAGTTGATTTTAGCAGAGTGCAAGGGAGGCAAGTCCTGCTCATTTGGCTCACCAGCCATAGGTACATAATTCCTGACTCATGATGCCTTTTTCAGCCAAGGTGGTACTTTGCTCAGCGCTCTTCTGCTGTCTGTGGTTTGGCTGTGCTCTCATTCCAGACATGACCTTTCTGTTCTATTACCTCTGGACTTCCTCTTGCTAAACACAGACTGCCAGACAATGGTCAGGGTGAAGAGCAGAACACTGAGGATCCCAACGCAGCACACGAGCACAGCATACACGTAGAGATCTGAAAGCAAGGACACAGTGGTGATTACCAAGATGATGTGCATCAGAGGAGATGTGCCAAATAAAATAAACTTCACATACTTTACAAAAATCAAATCAAAATGAACCACAAACCCAAATGTAAAATATAAACTAGAAAACTTTTGGAGAAAACCTAGAAGAAAAACCTTTGGGATCTAGGACTAAGCAAAGAATTTTTAGACTTGACACCAAAAGGATCATCCATAAAAGAAAAAGTGACTACATTTGATTCATCAAATTATAATATTTTGCTTTATAAAAGCCCATATGAATAGAATGAAAAAACAGGCTACAGACTGAGAGAAACTATCTGCAAACCACAAACTAAACAAAGAACTGGTATCTAGAATATAAAGAACACTCAAAGCTCAACAGTAAAAAATAAACAATCCTATTAGAAAATGGGCAGAAACGTACAGACACACTTAACCAAAGAGAATATACAAGTGGCAAATAAGCACATGGGAAGACGTTCAACTTCCTTAGCCATTAGAAGAATGCAAAGTTAAACCTCAGTGAAATATACCACAACTATCAGAACAGGTAAAATAAATATAGTGACAATACCAAATTCTAGCAAGGATATAGGTAAACTAGGTCAGGCAGTCATTGCTGGTGAAAATATAAAATGCTACCGCCACAGTCTCTTAAAAGACACACCTACAACTAGCTAGAATTTGACCTTGTAGTTATATTCCAGGGCATTTGTTTCAGAGAAATGAAAATTTACTTTCACACAGAAACCTGTACAAGCATGTTTATAGCAGCTTTATTCATAATAGCCAAAACTGAAAAACAGTACAGAGGTCCTTCAGTGGGTGCCTGGTTAAACAAACTAAGGTGCATTCACACCAGGGAATACTACTCAGCAATAAAGAGGAACAAACCACTGACACATGCAGTTACCTGGATGAATATCTAGAGAATTATGCTAAGTAAAAAATAATCCCAAAAGGTTACATACTGTATGATTTTATGGAGGAATTGGGAGGAAAATGGGTTTCGCTACAAGGAGCCCTGTAGTGATGGGAATGTTCTGTGTTTGGGCTGTATCAATGTCAACATCCTGGTTGTGATATCGTACTAGAGTTTTTCAAGATGTTACCATTGGGAGAAATTAGGTACAGAGTACAAAACAATACAAAAGATCTATGTTTGTATCATTTCTTAGAAATACATGCTAATCATGAACAAAATAAATTTTAAGTTCAAATAGTTAGAACATGTTCATATATGTCTTAATCAGTTTGGGCTACTATAACAAAATATAGACTGGGTGGCTTAAGTGACAGACACTTATTTCTCAGAAGATCAAGGTGCTGGCAGACTGGCTGTCTGGTGAGAGCTCTCTTCCTCATTTAGAAACATCTCTTGGTATCCTCAAATGGTGGAGAACAGAGCAACAGCAAGCAAGCTCTCATGGGGTCTCTTCTTATAAGGAGACTAATGTCACACTTGGCATTTCCTTCTCATGACAATGTCCTTCCAAAGGTTCTACATCCAAACACCATCATATTACGGGATAGGATTTCAACATGAATTTTGGATGACACAAACATTCAGCCCATAACAATACATATCCATTTCTGAAACTCCAATGATCAACTTTATCACCAATCTGACTGATAAAACGCTCAGAAAATGGAAAAGAAAGCCAAAACCTTTATTTTAACCTTCTTTTCAGCAAAATGCCACAGATGGTTAGACTTGGAAAATGACTGAACGTAGCAAAAATGTTTCTCTGCTGACTTAAATTTCTTTAGCCAATAGACATTAATCAGCCATGTTCAACACAATCCTAGATATGAGAAATATAACAATGAACATACAGAGGTCCTCTCATCAGGAAATCAGAGGCCACTTGGTACCGACAACAATAGGAATGTGTGCCCAATACTAGGAACAGGCAGAGAAGGGACACAACCCAGTCTGCAAGGGCTGAGACGGGATTCCCAGAGGACTGGGATTCTGCTCTGATCATATTTAAAATATCACAGAAAAATGCAGAAATATGTAGAGAAAATAATATAGAGAGAGAGAAAAAAAGTATTCAGCCTCCATCACCCTGAAGTAAGCACTGCTAACATTTGGTGTCCATTAAGATGTATATGTGTATAATGGTAAATTAAAATCCTATAGTTTCACATATTGATTTTTGTTTAATCTCATTTTCTCATTAAGCTCTCTTCAAAAAATGATTCTGAACTGTTTTTTAAAAAATGATAAAAGTTTATCATATTAATATGAGTGACTTGATATCTTCATTATTGGCTACTCAAAGTGTTTCTAACAGTTCTATATAGGAAATGATTCTATGATTAGCATTTATAAGCTTAAATTGTAATGCATCTCTCACATATTCTTAAGATTAAGTTCCTAGAAGTAAAATTGCTTGGTCAGCAGGAACTCACCTTTGCAAAGCCCTTGGGACTTGGAGGAGCAGTTAGGTAAGTGCTTAACTAAAAAAGCAAGCATGTTAGGAGTGGCAGGATGGCAGGCTTCCATGGTGAGCCTGGAGAAGCAGGTAAGGCTTCCTATGGTCAGTGAGAAAGAAGGAGGGAGAATGGGATGGAATCAGACATCTCAGCTTCCTTCTGACTCTCCCTCCACAGCTCCTGCCCCAGGAAAGCCCAGTGCAACTGAGGCCTTGAGCTAATACCTCCCATGGTATTAGGCTCAGTCAGCTTTTTTTTTTTTTTTTTTTGCCTATGCTACTTTGAGTGGGGTTCTGTTCCTGGAAACTTAGGGGCCTGGGCAAAAAAAAAAAAAAAAGTGGAAAGCATAACAGGAGAAGGTTGCAAGTGAAGAGAGTACCTGCACTAATATTTAAGGGAGCAGGGTAGTGTTTTCTACAGAGGGAGCTGAGAGCCAGCCCTAGAAGCAGAGATGGGTGAGATATTAGAAGCCAAGAGAGTAGAACGTTGAGTAGAGATTCTTTAACAGCATTAGGAACTACAGGAAGAAACCCATTGGTTTTCCCACTAGGAAGCTACTAGAAAAGTCCTGGGATAAAGCTAATTCAGGGGATAGTAAGGGCAAAAACAGATTAAAAGATTCAAACTGGTCGATGGTATGTGAGGAGTTTGAGACAGAAAGAGAGAAAACTCTTTCCTATAATCAAAATTAAAACAGCCTTTCCATAGAGATTCCTGTGTCTCAGATTTATAGATTAATACGGTAGAGCACCTTGCAAGTAGTCAGAGTTAGGAGGGAGGCTTGGGCCTCCATTTAAACACATGAAACTCTGAGGGACAGAGCAGAGGTCACAGAGCAGGCTACATGACAGGATACAGGCTAGGCCAGAATATGCAGAACATGTGACCAGTCCTGGATTCTACCCCATCGGACAGACTCTCTGGGAACAGGGTTGTAGGGTCATGTTTGGAACAAGAGGATGGGGAAGAGTGTTCTCACAGTGCCAGGCAGACAGATGTGGGCTAGGTGGACAAACATCTGCCTCAAAAGAATTCTGGAGAGGTAGGCCCCTAGACTAAAAGGAAGGAAAATTTGGCTTCAGTCTCATTCTTGGAATGGAGAAAAACTGTCCTACTCTGTGCCACTGGAGCAGAACGACATGATCCACAGGCTCACCTCATCCAAACTCTTTCCTTGGTTCTGGGACTGCAGAAACCCAGAAGGGACAAGGCCATGGGAGAATCTCCCACGTGTCCCCAGAAGCATAATGCAGACATCTGTGGCAGGAGGCCAGAGGCTCCCACAGGCCGATGTTGGGGTTTTAGATCACAGCCTCCTCAACGTGGCACAAAGGAGGCTCCCCACAGGCAGCTGTAGATACAAAATCATAAAACATCTGGCCAGTCTGGAAGGCTCAGCTAACCGCCAAGCACATAGGCCGTCCAGGCAGTGGACACTGGCCAGCAGGCACCAGCCGTCCATGTGTGAGTCCCCACAGGCCTTAGATGAATTGTGCCTGTGCTCTGTTGTGTTCTTGAAGCTACGTGAACCTTAAAGTGTGGCCTTGCAGGAAAAGAAAAGCTAAAAAATAAAATAAAATAAATTTTAAAAAAATAATAAAACCCAAAACCTGAGTTTCCCTAGGTTGGGCAGCAAACATTATCCTCTGTAAAAGTTCTTATTTCCCCTCTGTTCCCAGCTTTCCTTTTGCTGCATAGAGACTATGCAAAAAAAAAAAAAAAAAAAAAAAAAAAGGTTAAGTCCTGAGCCATTTAAGCCAGTGTCACAATCTCCTAAGATTTCAGGGCCAATTTTGACAGGCAAATCTGACTTGCCTGACAGGCAGCCATTCTTTGGCTGGAAAGCCAGTCTGATGCCTTTAACTTCTAGGTAAAAACCTCTCTAATTATAAATGTTGGCTCAAAGGTTTTCAAAGAGACCCAGCCGAACAATGCTTGTCCAGAGATTGAATCCAAGCCTTCAGGTCCAAATTTAACAAAACATCTGCATGTAACTATATCTGGGATTCCCCTTTAAAATACCACATCTACCCGCATATTCAAAATAATTCTAAAAATCTTATTATATTCCCCAAATTCATTTGCACATTTGTTTTTTGCCATCGGACTTCCAAAGGCACCACTGTCATTTTTAGGCTCAACTGCAAGCTGCCACACAGAAAATGTCTCCCATAGCCCCCAGCACAGGCCTCCCTGAAGCAGATGGTGGGGCCGGCAGGCTAGAGTGATGATCACAAGGCTGGGAGGCTGAGATGGGGTGCACAGTATCTGTGTGCCAACTCCCACCCTTCCAGAAAGCCAAGCCACAACAGGCCAGGAAGAGTACACCCCCAAAAAGGCAGACAGCACCTGTTGCTGGGCAACCTGAGACCTGCTGGGGTATTCAGAGCTGCTCTGAAATCTGGTGATCCCAGCATTCCTCAGCACAATGAAGGAACACAATGCTCCCAAACCTCTGAATCTAGAAAGTTAATGTCAGTCCTCTACATTTCCAGAGCAAATGCCAATGCCTAGGAGATCACAGCTCTGTGGTGAAAACTGTGTACTTCTGCTATTTTTTATCCAGCCTATAATATCATCTTGCTTGGGGCAAAATACCTGAGCAACAGCCCAGAGGGAATTTAACTCCCTCCAGAAACTTCCGAGAGGCCTGACAATGCCTTTCTTTGTGCTGAGGTGCACAACCTGGCCCAACTAAGCCCAGGAGGATGGATGGATATCCTCCGACAAGCCCTACTGCAGTTCTCCCGTCCAGGAACAAAAGGGCAAAGGGCTGGGAGCAGGCGCCAGGGAACTTCAGTTGTGCCCCTGACCTCACCAACACTGTGCCTGGGTTCAAAAAGCAAAACCCAGGGAAAGTGATGCCGAAATCATCAGAAAAAAGCACTGTGGAAACAGCTGCACAGACGCGTCATGCAGAGTGAGAATGCCTAGTCTGCTTTTCAGAGGGACCTAGTTTTCTGTGTCACGATGAGAGGGCATACTGAGCTATGGACATGGTGTAGAGAGGTAGAGAGTAAAGGTTCTGTAGCCACACATGAATTATCAAATATTATTAATCAGACAAGGTGTTTTAGAGATGCTGATTATGTGGCAAGGTGTATGGAGACTAAACTGTTACAATCCTTCCAAATATATAGTGTTGGTCTTTGAAAATACCTCCAGCCCTGATAAAGTGGAAATTATTGGATCTCTTTCTAAATGTAATAATCAGACTCTCAGGAGGGAGCACAGAGTCTGGGTTACTACTAAGAAACCCACAGAGATTCTTATATATCTGATGATAAAGAGGGCTCCCCCCTCACGGCTGCCAGCGACCTGCCTTAGGGCCTCCAACACTGCCCCCCATCGCAGTGCCTGCATCACAGAAAAAGGAGCTAAATCAATCGCTTTTTCTCCTGTGAGGAGTCAAGTCACTTTTGTGTTTTTGCTAATGGACAGACATTCACACTGAATGAAGGGCTAAGGGAGGAAATTTGGGGTTATTTTTCCAGAAAGTCATCAAATAAAGAAAGGCAACTACAGTACATGCAGAAGAAAAGCAGGGCATACAAAGAATCACTGTGACAGTGAAGTGCAATCTGAGGAACACAATGTGTATTTATGACTTCAGCACAAAACAGTAAATCCTCCTGGCCTACCTGGGTGACAGTTTAGGGTTGGCAAACTAACTTCATAATTATGGTTACATTTTTCTAAGAGAAAGCACCTCAATCCACTGCTTTTATCTATCTTTTGGCAGGTGGGTTTAACTCCAAGTGTTCTCTCCTAGGGCAAGCTTTGCTTCCACCACACCTGTTAACAAAAGAGAATGGTGAAGCCCCAAGGCACACACATCTCCTAAGGTCCTTTTCACAAGGTCATTCTCATCAATAACTGCCCTGCATTCACTAGATCCTTCTCACCTCTCAATTTCCTTCTCAATTTCCTAATCACCTCTTAATGTTAATCAGTTTTGTACTGATCAAAGCCTCTGCCTGAGAACTCACAAAACCCTTTCTTTCGTTGTTTGTGGTCACAGTCCTCAACCATTTTGTGATATTTCTGTGGCTTTCCTTACTTGAAGGCAAGGTTTCTCAAGCTTGACAGGCTTGTCATTATGGGCCAGATCACTCTGTTGCGGGAAGCTTCCCTGTGCACTGTAGGCTGTGCACCGACCCACTAGATGCCAGTAGCACCAAAATGCTAGCTGTGGCAATCAGAAATAGGTTCATGTGTTGACAAATGTCCCCTGGAGAGACAAAATTCCTCATGTTGAGAATCATTGCCCCCAAGGCTCAAGCAGGAGCTTATATCAGAACCCCTCCCACCAATGGCTGGGCACCAACCCAGAGTTCCTCATTCAGTGAGGGCAGTGCCCAACAATTACATCTGCAACAGGCTCCCAAGTGATACTGATGCTTATGCTGCTAGTCCAAGACCAGCGTAGAACCATTGTTCTGAGGCCCAACTGCAAGCTGGAATCACTTGGAGAGTTTCCAACAAGTTCTACCACCACCAGAATCTCCAGAAATGTAGTGCAGGCAGCAGTGTTTTCAAAGATCCCCTGGTGATTCTAAAATGGGTCAAAAATCACTTGCTTAAGGGTTTCAAACTGTTTCTAGAATCACAAATTTCTTAAGAATCTGAGATAAAATTAGTTCAGTGGATGTACTTTCCATTTTTATATTACTTTAAGACCCCACCCTAATATCACCTGAGATTAGGAATTCTGGAGCAAAACAAATAAAGCAACCCCAAATTATGCAGTTTGGAGCTTTTACCTCTACTTTTTCAAAACCTTTTGGCTGATACCCACAGAAATCCCTGTCCTACTCTTGAGTAAGTTTAGGGCTAGCAAACAACTTGACATGGCAAAACTAAGAAGTTCCTCCTATTCTATTCCTTTCCTATTATCTAAAAGTGAGGTAGCATCTTATAATAAAAAAAGTAAGTTTTACCTTCAAAAAATGCCCAAGTCTTTTTCTTCCTTTCAAAGGATGAATCTTCCGAAGCTTTGAGGGAAATCACTGTAAGACAAAGAGAAACAGCATAGCATGAAGTAGAATAGCAATGGACCAGGCCCACATTGCAATCCAAAACAATGCTATATGGCATATATGGCACTTTTTATAAGTAATTTTCACTTTTGCAAAACCACATTTAATTGTCAAGATTCACCGGCCATGGAGAGGTGCAATGACTTACACGTAACAACTAAAAGAGCTGATGCACTGGAGGGGTATTAAGATTTCTATTTAAAGTCATTAAATGGCAAAGCTGGGACACAGTTCAGTAGAAGTCCCAATTGCCCCAAATTTTTGCAAAATAAAGAGTTCCCCAATGGGAATTCCAAGAACCAAAACATTATTTATTTTACATTTGATATCCCAAGACAGAGAAGCCTGAGATCACCTGATGACTCAGGGTTAGTGCTCTGAGCACCATTCTCCATGCAAGACAGTCACACAAAGCAGCGGGAATCTGATTCTCAGATTACATTGTCTTGTCACTTTTCAATCAGTGGTTAATCACTGAATTCACTGTACCTGCTTTCAATAGTCATGGAAACAGACTGTGCATACAGCAGCAGCCACTGGCCACATGTGGCTTTGAAGCTAGTCTTTTACATGGAACTGAGAAAGTGAATTTTTAAATGTATTTCATTTTCATTAATTTAATTTTAAACAGCCACATGTGATCAGTGGCTACCAAATTGAAGAGCTCTAGAGAAGAGACTTTAGGGCTCAAATAAAAAGAAATCTACTTATCTATCTGCCTATTTTATCTACCTGTCTACCTACCTTATCTGTCTATCATCTATCGTCTATGTTGGTCTTCAGAGAATAATTAGGATAGCTGAAATATATATGCACATATATAATTGTATAATTATATAATACAAACATATTTATGAAATATAAATATATAATTAGGAAAGCTGAAATACAGATGTTTTCAGCTTTTCTAATTGTTCTCAGAAGGAGGGTTTTGGTCTGCTATGTTAGTCTGTCATTACTGGAGAAGAACTCCTCTCCCATTGGAACCTAAATTCCCTAAAACCATAAGCCATATCTTCTACCTCTATATCCCCATCATTTGGCACACTGCCTCACAGCTGGTAGGTGTCTAGTAAATAAATGATCTATTTCTTTCTAACAGCGCCACAAGGTAAGCAATCTGTAAGTCTAGGAATGAACTCAGTGGCTATTTGGTCTTGCATGAGATATTAGATACAATTTATCCTCCATCTTCCCTACTTAATTTGCCCCACCCACAGGCCCTGTAATCATTGACTACCAGAGCAACCAATCAGACCCCCTTCAAGAATTTAAACTGAAAAACAGAGTACATATGGTTGTGTGAACCCTGGGGCTGAAAGAACCTATGGACTACAAGGCAGGAAGTTGTGTCTGAAAAACAGCCAAGCAGAAAAGCGTAGAAGGCAGAACCTGTAAGGGAAAGGCAGAGGTGAGTGGCCCTATGGGGCTGAGAGGCTTGATCTTGATGGCACTTTGGGTTCCAACAGGGCTGATGTATTGCATTTGCTATCCTTGCATTCCATGAGCTCTATGCACTTATACTACCCCTTCCTCTCTTTTGAATTAGCTTGAATGGGTTTTTATAGCTTCAACTAATACAGCCTAGGCTAGGTTAGGCTAACTACAAAGAGTCTTAATGAAGACAATACTGAAATGAGAAAGAAATGTATCTCCAAGTTGCTTACATTTTCAGACCATCATGGTCCAGAGCCTCACCACTTCAAGTGTGCTCCACGGACTAGCAGTTTCAGTGTTAACTGGGGACCGGTCAAAAGTGCAGAATCACTAGGGTTCTAAACCAGAGCTACTGGATCAGGATCTGCTTCTAAACCCAGATTCCCTGGGTGAATCATATGCACTTTAAAGTTTGATGTGAACTGATGTACACTGGGTTGAAACACTAGGTTGTCATTTGCTGGCTGTATGACTTTGGTAAAGTCACTTTACTTCCCAGTGCTTTAGTTTCTCCCCTTGTTATGCAGGGATAAATCCTTACTCTCAGGGTGTGAGTATCAAATGTATTAAAACATATGACGTGCTCAGAACAGTGCTAGTGAGCAATCTCTATTCACAAGGACATTAGCTCTCTAAGACCAGGATTTTAGTCTATTTTATCCCTGGCTCTAACTCCCACACCTAATTCCAGCATGGACCTTTGCTGTCAGCCCTTTGCCTCAAACTGTGAATCTTCAATTGTTCAAATGGTCCATAAGAAAGAGCTCCCTGTCCTTGTAGCTAAATGTCTGCAGCTCAAACAGGCTGTTACCATTCTAGCAAAGGCAAGTACCTTTACACCACTTTTTATTCATCTTTCATTTTTTCCTTTTCAAATTTTTTGGCCCTTTATCTAGTCCAATTACAACTCTCTTTGCCTTATTTGGGACAGAAGGTAAGATCTCTGTAATTGACACATGGAGATGTGTGCAGAAAGAGCCAGCAAGCCAGGGTTCTAAGCTGATGGGGTTCTAAGCTGATGGGGCTCTAAGAGAGGAATTCAGGGATGCTCATCTCCCCCAGGGCAGCTACTTTATGTGACAGTGCAGAAACTTTGATCAGTAACATTGGTCATACTCTTATCTGTTCCTACAAGAAAGAAAAATAATGCATAAACTCTGCCAGAGTTTCAGAAATTTTCTCAAGTTTCTGTATAACTGTCTTGTTTCAGCTGCTAATCCCCTGCTATCTCAGAGTGAATTTGATACAGTCAAACCACGTGTCTGAGACCACAAACCATGAGGGCACACCTGGATAGAGCTAGGCCGACATAATAGCAGGGCTTTGTAGTGGACAAGCAGTGGGTCCACTGACTTTATTAGCAGACCTCCCTCCACATTTAACCTGGAAGCTGAGTGGAAGAGGCCACCGAAGACTAGATGGGACAGCAGAGAATGAAGTCTTTTGAGGAAACATTTTGTTTGACCAAGGAAAGACTGGCAAATTTTCCAATCACAGATTACAAATGTTGGTCAAAAACTCCATGAGATAAAATGCAATCTCTTGATCAAGGAGCATGTGCCGTGGTTTATAATGACTAGCCATCAGTAGGTGACAGCCCATCACTTTCAACTGTGTTTGCCTCACCTTGTGAGATAGCCAGACTTCTCTAGACAATTGGGAAGAAGGCAACAGCAGCCCTTCATAACCCAAGTCCTAGTTCTTCCTAAGCACAAGCTTAGGTGAGCTGGAAGTCCTTACCTTCTGCAGCTACCTATGACTGGGGCAGTTCTCAGCTTAATCCCTCTAAGATTAGGGGTCATATGCTGCCAGCCTTTTTAACCAATGAGTTGTATTATAAGGTTTTGATGGTGGGTGGGAGCCACACCCCTTTGTGTAATGGAGTAATGGGATTTAAGTCCCTGGCCAAGAGCAGGCAGGACAGGAAGGAGTAAACTGCATGACTCTCCCCCACTTGCATCTTCACTCACCCTCCTCCTTACCCCTGATCCAGGAGAGCTTCTGACAAGTTGCCCCTCTCCAAGTAAGAGGAATGTGGTCAACATCCTGCTCCGGGTGACCTCTGTCTTTCCATGTGCTCTGAGACGGGCCTTTCAGCAAATAACTAACATGGGAGTGGACAGTGTATGCCCCTTGGGAATGTCTCATCACCTCAGTTGCTGGGAGAGTCACTAGCCCTGTTTCCCAGGGAGCCCTACTTGAGGCCACTCAGGTGCACTCTTCTTTTCCATGCTTCCTGGATCCAGAGGTCCCAGGAAGGTGGGCAGTATTGGGAACCCCTCCTCCCACAGGTTCAGGGCCTGGAAGAGGGTAGGGAGGAGGGTAGTGCAACTGATCAGGGAAGCAGAAGGAAGTTCATTTGGCCTCAGTGTCAAACCACTTTTCTCAGTACAACTTTACAAAACATAGAGTAGGCATTTGGTTTCTGTTTGACTCCCATGCCCACTTAAATATTGCATGGAGCTCACAGTGGGGAAGGGACTAAAGAACACTCCAAAGCTGTCTTCAACTGATCTACTGATGGCTTTGTAATATCCTTGGGACCCTGGCACCCAGGGCATAGCCCATCTGCCCTTCTGGTGAGGCAGTGGCCCAGATACCAGAGCTGAAGGTAGTGCTGGGGCCCCTCCCCAAGAGGAGAGCCATGCTGTGACAGACACCACGTCTTGCCTCCTCTGGGAAGAACTGGTTAAAAGTGGCCCATGATCAAACAGTCTAGAAGAATGCAGTGCAGAGGTAGCGAGACACACAGATCATATCAGTCTTATGTCTGGAGGAAGCAGAGTAGAAAGAAAGACTCTTAGTCAAGTCCCCTTTAATGGGGCCTATGGGAACACCATCATTCTGAGAGGTGTGAAAACTGAGAGCCTTGATTCCTAACTTGAACAGAATTCCTGAATCTCTTGGGGAAGTCATGTTTCACAGGCTGCGGAAGATTATGTCCCCTGAATTCATGCCAAGACCCTGTGACAATGACAATGCCCAGGGCCAAGGGGCCTCCATTTCCCTTCCTGGCCTCTGTTCACTGATGATACTGACATCTTTGTCTGGGCCTGTGTTGAAGGACTGACCTTGTCATTCATGGAATAGATGGACAATGATTTTTAGAAGCCCTGGGAAGGCTCTCTTTTTCCCTACTATTCTTTCCCACCTATTCACCTATGCCCAAATTTCTTTCGTAAAGAATCCTACAATTAAAGAAGCTCAATTTGCATCCATAGGTTATATCCAAAGTTGGGTGCACATTTCTGACACAGAAAGCCTTCCAGAATGCAGGTGTTAATGGAGAGGAGAGTAAAGAGGGCCCAGCACAAATGTAGGAGTAAGGAGGCCCGAGGGAGCAGTGGCAAAGATATGAGGGAACACCCAGAGACTGGGAGACATGCCTTCATTTTTCTCTTCTTACTGCTGGCCAGTCTGAGCTAAAGTATTCTCCATATTCTCCAGATATTCATTTAGCGACCAAAGCCTAAGATTTCTAAAATTTTAGTGTTAGGAGAAGTAATTGTGATTCTGGTTAAAATGGAGATTTC